CCCAAACACCATTTTATGCTAAAATTCTGACAGTGTTCATGAACTATGTCAGTGGTACTGTGTAAGAACTTGGATCGCACTGTACACTCCCTTGGGGAGTGTTTCATTGTTTATAAAACAAACTGTTTTACATGATCAGTTCTAGACTTTGCCGATACAATCTAAACTGTTATATACTGGGAAAGGTTTAGACATGTGAAGGGGAAGTGGTTGAATATGGGCTGCACTTCTCTCTGACTTGAGGACTTCATGCTTCTGTTTTTCAATAACTTTTTCTTCATTAATGAGATTTGAACTTTAAATAAGAAGATTTTTACTTGGAAGCTTTTTATTTTGTGTTTTGACATTCTTAACATTTTTTTCATTCTCTTGATTGCCAGCAATGCCCACCCTCACACTGAAGAGTAAAACAAACACATCAAAAGAGCAAAGATTGGTTGATTAAATGTAAGAAATTCCCCTCTCTCTCTCTCTCTCTCTCTCTCTCTCTCTCTCTCTCACTATGGCTTTCCCCTTCAGTAATTCTGTCTGTAGTGCAAATATCTCCTCATCCCTCTGAGTTTCTATGAGTTTAGAGTGCACCCTATAGTACCTATCAACATTTGTTGAACAAGAGCAAGTTTAAGAAGCATTACTAGTTAATTGTACCTTCATTTATATAGCTTTTCTTGACTTAAAAAAGAATTCGTGCACAATATGAATTTGGGTATTTACACCACTAAAAAGTCAAAGGCGTAGGAAATCATTTGTGAGGCAATGGAAGATAGAAAAATAATGTGAATTTCTATCTAGTTTTCGATCACCAAGGGCTATTAACAGTGGATTTTATTGTGAGATCTCTGCCTCTTGACCCCAAGAGAGACATACATGGCTCTACATAGGAAGGAGAAAGAGACAAGATTTCCTGAGTAAATTGGGAGTGTGTCACGGGAGAGGGTAGAAGAGGAGGGGGAGGAAGGCAGGGGAGCATAAAATATGTGTAGCTCAATAAAAACAATTAGAAAAGATCTCTATCTCTCTTAAAGTCAACAGGCATTGACAGGTACTGTATATGGAGTTCATAATTTCACATGTTACGGAAGGAGATCTGGTGAAGCAAATGTAATGCTTTTCTATTATCCGACTTCTTTAATGCAGAAATTCTCACTTAAGCTATTAATAAATAAACATAATGTTTTACATATTTCAGGCTATCTTTGTCTAGAACAAGAACATGGATTTGTTACAAGAGGAGGTACCTCTTGGTACCTTCCTTTGATTTATAAACTCCATTAGAACAGTGGGCATTCTTTTGCAGTTCACAAATGTTCATATTTATTTGAAGCACCCAAATGTTTTGGAAGAATATTGAATTGATATTACAATACCCATATGTCTACTTGTGACACATATTTTTTTTTCTGAGTGTGCTGGTAGCTGTGTTGAGCAGAGCATAGTTTTGATTTGAGGATTATAGCAGGTTGTCACCATGTCCACATTCCAAACTGCCATCACCTAGGCCCATCATCACCAACAAAGATTATGAGAAACGTCGATGCCAGTGTCAACGGAGTTTTCATATTAGTTCCATGTTTCCAAGTAAATCACTTGTTTCTAATGCAAAATCTGAAACCCGCCAACTTCAGAATGAATTCCTGCCATGAAAAGAAGGTATCTGAGATGTGAATGATACAGCTCACAGAGAAAATAGCAGTACAACCTTTGATATTCCTGTTTTCACACAGCCTGAGAATGAGAACAAGACTGGGCCACCGGAAGTTGTGTAACCTCCTTCTTGCAAATCACTGATCCTCAGTTAGCCAGCTGTCAGTCTGCAGCTCCCAACTCCAGTCTTGTGGCACCAGGCCCACCTCTTTCTAAAGCATCAGGATTCCTCTTAGTTTTTATCTAAGTTGATTGAAAAACATGTACATAGGCCTGGGAAGTAGACAGCAGTTTTTAAGAGACCACGCTACAGATTTCTCTGACGCTAGATTCCTTTGTTGGTTTTGCAACTAAGCTGTACATGAGATTGGTAAACTTCACCGATGCTCTGAGGTTGAAGTGCGGCCCCACTCCCTGTTGTAGACAAGCCGATGCTCATCCATGCTTAGCAACTTCATCTTGTGCACCCACTCTGCCTATTGTCAGAGAAGCAACCTAGAAGGGCTGCAGACATAAGCAAGGGCATGTGGAACCTTGCAACTCCCCCCAAATACTAGAGTTGAACGTTTTGTAAAGGTCTATGCTATTTTCTATAAATTAAAAATACTGTGATAATTAAACAAAATTTAAAATGTGTAAGAATTTGTGCAATGATGACTTGTTATTAACTACTAACTTGTGGATATGTGTTTTTCATATCTGTGGCCTTTAAGTGACGGTGTGTTTTTTCTGTTGATTAGTTTGTTTTTTTACTGACAAATATTACTTGAAGTTGCATGGCAGGAACTCTCTCTGGATGTTTAAAAGAATGCTTGAGTTTAAGAGGCCATTCATAACTAGTCAACCCTAGTTTCTAAAGAAGTGTCACTCTGCAGACATGCAACTGAAGTTGCAGTGGGCAAAGACAGTGGGAACCCCACAAAGCAAACAGCAAAGGCAGTCAAAGTGTTAACTAAATGGTGAATCACTGTTTATTAAATGATGGACAAAAGGAATGTATTTCTTTATTTGATCTGGTTAATATTCATTTTATACAAGTGGGGAAGCATGGCCTTAGTTATTTTATCAGTATGGTTATTTTATCTATTTAAACATGGAAAATGTTGTCACCAGATTCCCTTAGCTCATATTAATTTTGTATGGTGGAGGTCATTTTTGCTTTTAAGATCTAGGATGCTGACCGGGCGGTGGTGGTGCATACCTTTAATCCCAGCACTTGGGAGGCAAAGGCAGGCAGATCTTTGTGAGTTTGAGGTCAGCCTGGTCTATAAGAGCTAGTTCCAGTACAGGCTCCAAAGCTACAGAAAAACCCTGTCTCAAAAAACAAAACAATAACAACAACAACAACAAAAGAGATCTAGGATGCTTTAATGGTAAACATTTTCATCTCTGTTTTGGGAAGGCTTCATTGGCTATGACAACACTCCAGCCCTGTGGCAAAGTATATAGAGAAATCTTACTGTTATCTCTTCTAGAAAAGAACCAGTAGGTTCCAGAGATAGTTGAACATCATATTCATTGCCTTTGAACTTCCCCTTCCCAAGTTCTTATCAGCAGCATGGGCAGAGAACTGCTGTGTCCATTTCTTACATGATCCTAACTAAAGTAGAGCTATTATTTTTAATTTTGTTCTCTTATGAACTAGGAAAAAGAAGGCATGTATGACTATCATGGGTTAGGTTAACTCCTGTGCCTTACCCAGATAAATGATTTTTACAAATCCTTCAGACAAAATTCTGGAAAATGAACTCCCAAAAACTGTAAAATTAACGTGGTGAGACAGTGCTCTGATGAAGAAGGAAATGGTTTTGTTACAAACTGGCAGTAAAGCTGGATGTAAAAATTTGTGATACCATTGCTCCACTATTGTCCAATATGTATTGATATTAAATGTGCCAACAGAATAACAATTAGGCGTAAGATATTGTCAGACAAGGTACAAACCACAGCTTTACAAACAGCTCAAAAGTCTGTACAGAATGTTTGTTGTCCACACTCATTGTAACCAAAGTGACACGTATGAAGCAGCGGACTAGCATGTTGTGCGGAAGAAGATTGCTAAATGAGATGAACCAGTAAAAAGAAGCACTCTAGAATAGCAGGGAATCGCCATCAGCCTTGGAGAAGCAATTTAGCAATGATGAAACTCGAAAAATCCATAACATCTTATTCAATAATTTTGATTCTAGATATAATTTCTGAAAAATAGCCTTCAATACACATTATTCATTTTCCTGCCATTTAAAATAAGATTAAAAAACTGAATACAACAGAAGTACCTAACAATAAATTAATAAATGAAGGATTACACCAAACCTAATTAGTGCAATGGCTATCATTCTGTGCATCTAATTAACGTGGTGAGGCAGTGCTCTGATGAAGAAGGAAATGGTTAAGTTACAAGCTGGCAGTAAAGCTGGATGCATGATTTAATGCATGTTATTATTTCAGTTATAAAAGGCAAACTGTGTAGAATGCGCAAGAGTAAAACTTTAAAGGGAATTCAACTTAATATTTCTTCATTTTAAAGTAATTAAATATTAGCTTGTAAGATAATTTTTTCCTTAGGCAGTGGTGGCTCATGCCTTTAATTCCAGCACCCAGGAAGCAGAGGCAGGTGGATCTCTGAGTTTGAGGACAGCCTGATCCTCTATAGAGACAGTTCTAGGACAGCTGGGTCTACATAGAAAACCCCTATCTTGAAAACTGAGGGGAAATAAAGATAATTTTTCTATTTAACAGTGTTCTTTCTTTGCACCATATGTATCTCTGTGTTGTCTAAACGTTTGCTAGAGAAGTGAAGAGAAGAACAAGAATGCAGGAGGAATGGATGACTGACGGATTCCTACCAGGAAAATGATCCAAGCTACCAGCACAATTTCCACTGGCTTTTTCAAAGGTCTTCATCTCCTTGCCTATCAGCAATTCTACTGATCCCTTGGGGGAAACTATGTCTAATTGTTAGGCAGTTACAATCAATTATTTCTATCCTATTTTCTATCTAATCTGACAAGAGGTAAATATGCACGATCAACAAAAGATTCTGTAGAAACAATAAACCTTCAAATGGCACAGTTGCTAGTGAATATTCATCAGTAACTGTGATAGCTTTGTTTTTACAAAACACTGCCTAATTTTTTTCTTCCAAAAGCAAATAATCAATATACTCATTAATGCAATCCAAACTACTTTCCAGTCATACTAAACATCATTGTATATTTTTTTTTTAAAAAAATGCCATGTTAACCAGCTTACTTTCCCATAAGTAAATATCTCTTTGTTAAGACTTAGAAATTGCTAAATGAACTGTTGGTCATAGGAGTGAAAGCAAGAAAAGACTTGAGAATGCAACTCACCTGACATGCTTCTCTTTTCAGAAGAGCCCGCATGCAGCCATGAAACAGGTGGGTAGCCTAAGAATTCTCCCACCAGCCTTTTTTCTAAGCGCCGTTGCTCTGTTGTGTTAGAAACAGCATAGCACCAACATATATCTTTATCAGGACTTGCTTTTTTTTCTCCTCTGTTTCTTCAACTCTTTTGTGTGTACTTTGTTCAGTTATAAACAGGAAATGTGGTGATAGAGGCGTCTAGAGTTTAGGTCTGAAACGAGTAGACTTAAATAGTTGTGAAACGTGGGAAGAAAAACCCTGTGTGCTTCTGCATGCCAAAAGGTGAGTTTTTATCACTACCTGGTTTAAAAATAAAGTCTGATTTAAAAAACAAAGAATTAAAGCATGGTATGAATGAATCAAGGTGAAATCCACCATATTCTTTGAGAAAATCCAGGGGTCTGCTCATCTCTGAGTTCGCATGAAAATAAAATGAAATCTACTAAACTTGTGGACCAATAAATAGTAAGCAAGCCCTGGTGTGTATTCATCTGCTCGCTGTATCCTTTGAGACCTCATGGATAGAGAAGAATTAAGAAATTTTGAGGGCTTAGTGAGTATTAAATGTCTACCAGGGGACCAGGTGCCTGCCTTAGTCTCACCAGCCATTACTGTAGCCAGCATAAGCTACACTGTGTAAGCCAGAGTCAGCAGCATGCTCTACGGTCATTCCAGCATCAGCACCAGGAGTTTTTAAACATCTGTATGTAAGTGTGCTTTGCAGCAGTACTTCAGTGCAATGGAGGATAACCTCACAATTGCAATTGTGGTGGATAGCCACAGAATCGCGATTTTTGGCATGGTGCAGCTCTGGTAATTTTATTTTATTTTTATATGAAATTGCTAGCATAGACAAATGGAAAGATTTATTTTAAAAGACTTTATTAATGTATGTGTATTATCTAGCATGGTTTCTTCAGTTTTAAAAAAAGCAATGTAACTGACATATTATACGCACATATTTATGGGATATGGTATAATCAGCACACGTATACAATGCATAATAATAAAAATCCAGGGTATTAGCTTTTATATTTCCTAATATTTATCCTTTCTGTGTGTTGCAATGTGGACTTGTTGAGATATTTTTAAATACATTATAAATTGTTAGAGACTTTAATCATGCTGCTATGATATAGAGGACAAATTAATTTCTTTTCTCTAAATGCATCTTGCTTCTCATAATCTAACCATACACTGTCTCCTCCCCTTCCCTTTTCTGGCCTCCAGTGACCACCAACCTCTATTTCTGTGAACTCTATTTTTACCTTCTATGAAAGAGAGAGAGTAAATATGTGTATTTGTCTTTCTGTTATGGAGTTATTTAAATTAGTGTGATTAATTATTTAATTTAAATTACCTTCCTATCCAATCTGTGTTGCTATAAAAGACAACGTTTTACTCCCCCTTTCAAAAGTAAAACTGTTTTGTCCACATACAACCTGTCCAATGCTTTTCGTTGCCGAAGTAACACTCAGTTTAGTGAATGCCACATTCCCATATGCTCTCAGTTGATTATGGACTTATTCACGGATTCCACATCCTTGGTAATTTGGATACAGGTGATGTTTTGAGAAATTCATATGTATAAGACAGAATTAGCTTAATTAGCCATTACAACTTCAGAACCTAGAATTATACTTGGCCTATTAGGTTTCAATAAATATCACACTGATGGAAAACGTAACACAATGGGAGGTATCCTCTGAATGAACTTCTTTGTTCTTCTACAGACTGTAACTCCATAGAATCCAAAGTACAATGCTTACAGCTCTTGTTTCTGTGGATGGAGTTGGCTAAACACTAAGGAACTTTTTTGCTCACTTTATTCCTTTCCATCAAAATACTTATTGTAAGTAATTGAACCACTCTATAAGACTGAAAAAAACAGTAAAAGAATCTCTAATATAACTCTTAAAAGGACTTTAAAAGTATGTTCCAGGGCCATCAAGATGGTTTAGTGGATAAAACGGCTAGTCCCATAAGCCTGCCCATCTGAACTGCCCAGCTAGAATCCACAATGGAAAAACTTACACCCAATATTTGTCCCCTGGCCCACACACATGCCACAGTGCACCCATACACACACATAATAAAAATAATAAATCATTTTTAAGAATAAATAACCCAATAAAAATGAGGTACAGGCCTAAACAGAGAACTCTCAATAGAAGAATGTAAAATGACTGAAAGACATTTACAGAAATGCTCAGCATCCTTAGTCATCAGAAACGACTCTGAGATTTCATCTTATACCTGTCAGAATGATCAAGATCAAAAAAATACTGATGGCAACTTATGCTGGAGAGGATGCGGGGAAAGGGGACCACTCCTGCATTGCTGATGGGAGTGCAAACTAGTACAGCTGCTGTGGAAATCAGTATGGTGATTTCTCAGAAAATTAAAAAGCAATTTACTTCAAGATCCAGCAATACCACTTTGGGTATATACCCAAAGGATGTTCAATAATACTATAAGGACATGTGCTCAACTATGTTCATAGCAGCATTATTTGTAATAACTGGAGCCTGGAAACAACCTAGATGCCCCTCAACTGAAGAATGGATAATGAAAATGTGGTACATTTACACAATGGATTACTACACAGCAGCAAAAAATAATGACATCTTGAAATTTGCAAGCAAACAGATGGATCTAGAAAAAACAATATTGAGTGAGGTAACCCAGATCCAGAAATATAAATGTAATATGTACTCACATATAAGTGGCTTTTTGACATAAAATAAACAAACAAACAAAAAAACCAACCTACAGTCCACAACCCCAGAGAACCTAGACAGCAAAGAGGACTTTAAGACAGACATACATGGAACTACATAGGTAAGAGTAAAAGTCAAGATATTCTGAGTAAATTGGTAGTGTGGGGGTGACAGGAGAGAAAAAGGAAAGAGGGGAAGTAGGGAGGGGAGCAGGCAAAAGAGTGTAGCGCAATAAAAATATTAAAAGTATTTATTTAAATAAATAAATAAATAAATAAAAAGCTCTTAGGAAACAATATTCCTAAACGAATGTTTAGAAAAAAATCTTAATTTTGCCTGTATGGATGCATATACATGTTGAATATGACTCGTTCTGCAAAAAGGAAAACTGACTACTCTTCATCAGAGTCTTTCCAAATGTATTTGGCCAGAGAACTATTTCTTCATCAGCTACCATGAGGATGGCAGGTTCTGTGGACAAGATCTGGATGCTCATAGACCCAACAATTCAGGAAAATAGTAGTATTTAGTTGATGTAGAGTTCAGACAGCAATGGAGAATCAGAAGATTTCATTCAGAGGGAACATTAGGATGGAGGTGAGGCAACTGAAGGGTTGAATCCCAAACATATACACAGGGATGGAATCCTGGAACATTAATTCAAAAGGAGAGGATGCCATTGTGGAGTGGCCCTGAGAAGTTGGTCATTGAAGAAGATAACTGACAAGGAGGGTTTAATACACGGATCCAAGTTGGAACCCCACAGGTTAACCAAACTAGCATTTGTAATGTGATTCATAGAGGTGATACTGGGAAAAGGTCTCAGAACTAAGGACTTGGGTGTAAACACATCCTTACCAGAACACATACTCCAGCAAACAGAGAAAGAAAGAAGATGCTCCCACCTGGGTCATCCATGAATTTCAATTCCAGAAACAACAGCAGTATTCAGGAACGGGCTTTCAGGACACAGGTCAACAGCAAGAATAACTTGGGCAAAAATGCAAGAATTGTATTGCTGGCCCAAGAAACACAAACAACTGGAAGGCAATACAACCAAACCCACCTGTGGCTGTGACTGCCCCAAGGATTTCCAGGCTCAAAATTGTGACTGTACATATATGCAAGTCTAAATGGAACTGAAAATCAGGCACATAGGACACAGGCAGATGACCTCCAGCTCAGGCAGAGAATCACTTAATGGCCTAAACGAGTAAATATGTATCCCAGATGCACGACTGAGACCTCAGAAAGAGAAAAAAAAGCACGAAAAATTCAGTTTCATGTTTACAATATATTTGAAATGTGATCTGTATTACAATGTTTCCCATTCCTTAGGTTTAAGCAATAGGCAAGTACAACAAAGTTGTGCAAAACACACAAGGAAAGGCTATGAATGTTCAACAGATAGCACCACAGATTTTTTTTTTATTTCCAGGAAAATAGGTAGCTTTTCATTAAGAAATGGATGGCTAATGGAAACATTACTGGAATAAGAAAGTCTATGAATATATATAATATATTCAAATATATTAGTGAATACAGTCAGATTTGAATTATGACTTCATGAGCTATGCTCAAATAATAAATAAACATGAGGACTCTGCACTACATTTTAATGAGATGAGTTATCAAAACGAAATTGAAAAGATAGCTAGACTAAGCAGAAATGCCCTGATGCACTCCACGCATGTTACAAATGTAGAAGATTTGAGGAGAGGTTTTGATGGGTACCTGTCAAGAAATGAGAATTTTAAGAGCAATAAAATTGAAGTTTTGTTGCTACAAATAAAAAAACATACAATGACAGCTGCCACTCAAGTTTCATATGCAGAAAAATAGAAAACTAGGTCATAGTGTAAAGAAACAGACCTACTTTGTCTAGACTATTTTAATGGTCATCTATCATTTCTATAACTAATTATTTCTTATTAGTATGGAATATTTATATCTATTTGGAACATATACATTTATTCACATATCTCTATATTTATGTCTGTCTATCATCCATCTATTCCAAAAGGCTCTCAACACTTCATTTATCTATAATTTGAAGTGTTCCAAATTAAAAAGCACTATGTAATTTTAAGAGCTATTAAAATTCTCCTATTTTAAAAGCTTTGATTTATGGTACTAGAACTTATCACTCTGTAGAATTTTCTTTACTACTGCAAATCAAGCAGCTACACTGAAGCACGGGGAAAGGAAGCACACAGTTTCAGGAGAGGCAGGAAGGGAGAGCGCCCTGTACCTGCAACCAGGCAGTTTTAAATCGTGACATCACTCAAAACTAGTTAGGGAGCTACAATGGTATCTGTCTAGACCTCATTCG